GAAATGTTCTTCTCAATTATTTAGGTGTCCCGTTGAACCTGAAGTTTTATCTATTTTGAAATGTTCTTCTCAATTATTTAGGTGTCCCGTTGAACCTGAAGTTTTACCAGCTTTACTTCTGGATCCGAAAACCAACTCATTGGTGACGCCATTCCATGCTTTTAAGTTCGCGTCCGACAGTACAGTAAAGTTTCAGCTGACTGTATCTTTCTGTCTTGATGCCTGCACTCCAGTAAGTACGGATATTCGAGGACTCAGTTATTCATTTCAGTTGTTACTCTGTTTCATTGTGAATGAACTATATATAACAATAGTTTTTCTTCCTGTTTACCAGCTTTATACTTGAGAAGCCACCTTCAGTAACTTTTATAAAAACATAAGTTGCTCTGTGGAGCTGTATGGCAGTATATAGTGTTAATCACTCCTAAATTTCATCTTATTACATAATTCAAAAGCTTTATAATTAATTGTTGAAATATAAAAGAGAATTTGATAAATAAAAGCTAGAAGTAGAACATTGGTTTCCGGCCACGTTTTACTTGTGACAATGAGTCTGTGTTGTGTGTTATATTCGATCATTATTTACAATATGAATTTATACCAAAGGTCAAGACTGTATGAATGAGTGTTTTATAATGCTTATATTATCTATTAGAAGAATCCTGCTCTCTGAAGAAAACTTAGAAAAGCATTATCCTTTATTAAAAGTAGTATTATCATTTAACTACTGCGGGATTTATAAAACCACAAGTAATTGTATTTTTTAATAATAATTTTTCGTATTTTGGAATAATATTGATATTTTTTTTATATTTATTTATATATATTTAAAATAAATGATAGATTGTTATAAAAAATAACGATTTTATGAACTATGTGACCCTCACCAAAGATCACCCTAACGTTTCATATCTGATATATTTCACTCCAAATTTAATGATACTTCTACAACCGTTAATAATAAAATGAATTGACCTATTATGTATAGAATGAAAATGTTAGGTCGCTGAAACAACTGGAAATTTCTTGACATTTGTTTATATTGATTTGTGCCGTTAAAATATAATTTGATTTTCAGTTAATTATTTTCTGCGCAATAACTATGATTCAGGAAAAAGGTTATCTTTTTATAAACTCAATGAAATCTAGTTATAACGTAGTTATTATTGTACGGAGCATGGCCTAGTGGTTAGCATGCCGAGATACGGACTGAATGGCCCAAGGTTCGAGCAGCGCTATAAAATTAATAGTCAATCCCGTTATTTGGTTCAAAGAGACGTTATAAACTTTACGACTGCTACTGGTCAGTAGTTCTAAAATCATGAATAAGTATTCTTGAACTCTAGAATGTTTCTGACCTGGTGTATGTCGCATGAAAGGTTGTTCAAGTTGTAAATTACATTGGATATAGTGTAAGAGTGTTTATCTGGTATCAATTACTAAACTCTAATAACGAACAAGACGAGGAGATCGTATCGAGATTAAAATAGGCAGATTAGATATTTTATATCATTTGATATTAATAGTTTAATTTCATATTCTAATCTGGAAACCTTTTATATCCTTTCTTTCAATAATTTATTGATTAAATACATTTAAACTTTCTTCTGTTCTATCAACCATTAAGTTGGTTAATGTCTTAGTGTACATTTCTTTGTGACGATGTTTTAAACTCAAGATTGGACGACTCCATATATCATGCGCATTAGAAAAACAACAACAATTTTTTTAAAATTAAATGAAACCGCAGTATTTAATGTGCTAGATGAACTGGTCAAGTTAGAAGAATAAATGGGTTTCCTTCTGGTCAAGTTAGAAGAATAAATGGGTTTCCTTCTGGTCAAGTTAGAAGAATAAATGGGTTTCCTTCT